GCTACCTCAGTGGACTTGGGAACACAGATGAATCCTGTCATGTGCTAAATGAGACCAATTTCTTTCACTTAACTTCATCTTCAATCAGACCTTCTTCCATTTGCCTGTTTAAAATTCCCCAAACGTGATGCGGAAGGTAACAGCATTCAGTAAAACAAAGTTTTGCAGCAGCAGAGAAATTGTAATTATGCCAGTGTTACATTTTATAAGCCTGCTACTTAAAGTTTTATTCTTATGCCTGTTTAGTAGGGGACTGTTAACCCCAGAAGCCCCCCTGCTCTTTGTGTTTTCTGAACATTGTGGTGTACAGACAGGGAGGAGAACAAAGTCCTCACTGCAAGAGGGCTGGTTCTGAGCTGCTCATTGAAACTTGCTTGCTTAGGGAAAGTGAATCAGCCTAAGGGCAGAGGAATTGCTCTTTTGAGTGTCGGGGCTTTGACTTAGTGATTCTTAAGGCTGCTCAGTGAAAAGTTAACAGCTGCATTGCTGAAAAAGTGTAGACCTGGCCTAGGAGGTGGTTTCTAGATGCAGTTCAGTTAATGATTCAGTGTCTGACCTTGAACAGTTTGTGTCTCCCCCCCCACGAATTGTGCTTTCTTGTCTCTAACAGAGCTTGTGAGTTCTCTGGGGCTAGGACCATATCTTACAGTGAGCTTGCAGCATTGCAAGGGACCCAGCCTGTAGGTGTTGCTGTAATACAAATAATATTAAATCAAGAATCAGCTCTACCTGGGAGAGGAAGTGCAATGGAGCAACCTGCAGGAGCAGTTAGACTGTGAGGTGGTGCAGGTTCTTTTACCTGCTGCCTCTTTCCACAGCTCTCTCACATGTCAGCCAGCCCTTTGGCTAAGAGGCAGAAAGGATGGTCGCAGTGGTCCCTGCATGCAGTCTGACACCACCACATAAAGCCCTGCTTCGTTTGTCACTTAAGAACTGCTGTTCCTTGTTACGTAGCTACCGAGATGGTAGCACAGGTCACGGTGTGCCTTCCCTCCCCATCCTTTCCTCCTGCCATCCACACACTTCTCCCTTATTCCGTGTCCTGCCCTGACTCTGCCATGAAACTGTTTTTGTGTGTGACCATTGCCTACCTCAGTCCAACTCTTGTATTAGAATTACTGTTCTTAATTATATGCTGGCACTTAGCTGTTGTGGGGCAGTGGGTCTGGTGCAGTACATCACAGCTCTCCTGTTTGTCAGCACTTGGTACTCCTGTCTCCCATCCCACTGCAGCTATTGTGAATGAGTGCATAGATGGTGCATAATCACTCAGTTCGGTCTCATTCTTTGATCGTTCTCTGTTCTCCGTCGTGATCCTGGGGACTGCAGAGAGTCTGCAAAGGTCACCCAGCACGTGGTGCTCCCTCAGTGCTTTCCATCTCTGCCATATGCAGTTTAGGAAGCCAGTGCCTTTCTGGGCTGACTGGGGCCAAGGAAGCAGTGGGGAAGTGCTTGGTGTTACTCTTCCTTCCTCATCATCACGGGCAATAGAGGGAAGCCTCGTAAGGTCACAGCACGCGCTGACTTTTTACATCCTCTCCATTTTACATCTTCCATTGTATATACTCATCTGTTCTCCTATCTGCTTGAAAAACACGACCTGACGTGTGTGTCTACCCATTCCCTCTTCCCTTCAGCCGTCTGAAAGTGGGATATTCTCTGCCAGGGGGAGGGCGAGTGCTGGGTTTAGGAGCACTCACTCTGGGAATGTTACCTGCCATGTGAAATGGAGATTTAGAGGAATACTTTATAGCAGAGACTGGCTGAGGGGGCTGCACTGCTTGCAGAAATCTGCTGTACAATGCTCCGAGGTCTGCCAAGAGACCCAAGTTGGAAGGGTGTTTTCTGTACCCCATTTGTTCCCTTTTTATGGTTTTTTAGTTTGTTCGAGTTTTATTTAATGTTTGTTACTACTCTTGCTATTATCATCATCACTGTTTTATTCTCCTTGTTGAAGACTGGAGGGGAGGATGTGAAAATGGGAGAAGAAATGCTGAAGCATTAAGGTATTCACTTTGCTTTGAAGATTTGCATGCAGTATTTGATTGACACTGGTTGATGTTAATTCAATATAGGCTCTATTTTCCAAAATGCAGCTGAGGAAGGAAGGAAGGAAGCTAAAGCTAGATTGCAGAGAATCACTTTTGTTTCCAGGTTTTAAATATACCCCTTCTGTTCAGCTGAAAAGCATCTTAATTTTTGTAACGCTCAGACCATTTTTTTCACTTCACTGGTTGTCCTGGTCTCTGTAAAGGTGTTTCCTTTTGCACATAGGGAACTCCGTAACATATAAGTAAGTACATTATGAAGTATTTCAGAATATTTTTATTTCAGAATTTTATTTATTTCTTACAGTTACTTATGAAGACCTGAATTCAGAAATTAGGACCAGAGCAATAAGAATACATCGGGTTGCGGCATCAAAAACACAGGCTTATCAGTGTGATGAGGAATGATCTGAAAGCCACACAGTCCAATAGGAGGGAGAAAAGCAGGTCATGGAGCAGAGGCGCAGTACACAGAATAGGAGGCTGTAAAGTAATGCTGATAGATGAAATTAAAACAATTTCCAGCTGTATGTTCTGCGTGCTGCAAGGTGGGACTGCGAGGACGTGGTCCTGTGAACATTTCTGCAAGTATTAGCATTTCATGTAAGTAGTCTCCCTGCAGCTCATGGCAATATTGAAAGGAAAGCAGATGCCGACGTTCTTGCAACACTGCAGCCCATGTGGTTCATCTCCCTGCAGCTGACATAGTGCCATGGCTTGGCAGTGTGAGCACAGCTTACTGGAAAAAAAAAGGATGTAAGCTCTAAAAAGAGCAACAAAAATGATTAGGGGGCTGGAGGGTCTTACTGAGGGGAAGGGTTGGCTACCTGTTCGTAATGGGAAAGCTCAGACACCTTCCAAATTTTCAAAGGATGCAAAAAGAAGAGAAAGGGACATTATGAAGTTATGGCATCATGGGAATTGGCAGGAGGGAGAAGAAATTATGAGTAACAAGTGAAATAAAGAACCAAATATTTCAGGGCTGACTTGTCGCTGATAGCAGTCAGCCTGGGGACCTTATATTTTCTTAAAATTTGGGATATTTTTGTTCTGCTTCCCGTCAGTCTCTCACAGTCCTAAAGGGCATTGCCTAGAAATGGACAAAATTATCCACACTTTGCAGTAAGAACAATCAGGCACTGGCCTTTGTTGGAGGGGCTGCCAGGAGCCCCCAGAGCATTTCCAGCTCTTCTGTCTGAAATAGTTTCAAAGCTCCTATAAAATACCAGAGCCTTGAGTTTCTTTTGGAGAGAATTTCTACGTGATAGTCTCTGTTTTGCTAATACAGAGTAGAGGTAATGTTCTGCAAGGGGTTTGGGAATGTCTCCATGGAATTCAATGGCAGTGAGATAAAGTCAGTGCTGGTAAGTCCAAGCAGCAGGATGCTATTTGTAGGGCTCCCTGGGAACCTGCAAAGTAAAAGGTACATCATTGATCTGGGCCCAAAGTGTGCATTTTTTTCCCAGATCAAAAAGAAAATTAACAAAAATCTAGCCAGGCTGTTCCTCGGGTGGCCGGGGAGCTGGAAGGCAGAGCGCTGCCGCGAGCGGCCCGGCTCTCGCTGCCTTTGTGGTGGCCTGGCTCTCGCTGCAGCCTCCGGCCTGCTCAGCCTGCTAGTGACAAGTCCCACTGTGTGGCCAGCTCTGAACGGCCCCTGGCCGAGGCCACCCGGCCCCTGCCCCACTGCAGCCGGGTGAAGGCTCCTGGTGCACTGGAGATGGTGCCTGGGGTGGCCTTGGAGCAAGGAAGGGCAGCTGGATCCTGCGCAGCTCTGATGGGCAGCTGCAGGAGGAGCCTTTCCAGGACGACACTGTCCAGGCCCTGAGCGCCACAGCGGGAGCATCTCCCCAGCCCCTCAATATCCCTCTCAGGCCGGGCAGCAGAACTGGGCACAGTCAAGGCCAGGCACCAGCTGAGGCGCCTGGGAACATGGCCTGACAGAGCCAGGAGCACCCGGGACCGGCTTGTCCGGACGCTGCGCGAGGGAAACCTGCCCTCAGAGCTGAGCCACCCACTTCTCCTCAGTTTGAGGGTTCACGGCTCTGGAGAGCTGTGTGGATTTCAGTAAAGCTGCTCTGTGCACGTTCTCTCCTGCTTTGTTCCTTTGCCTTCCTTTGCTCTCTCCCTTTTTATTCCCATCATCTCCAGCTGTCTGCCAAGGGACACGGGACTTTGTCTTATCAGGACCTTGTCCCATTTTCTCTGAGCCTTGGTCTTCTAGCAGGACTCAGTGGGCACCCAAGATTTTTTTCTCCTTGCCTCCTTTCTCCTCTTGCTTTCTTTTCAAGCAGGGTAGGTTTAGTCTATGTACTGGAAACACCCAGGGAGTACATGTGTCCTGTGTCAGCCATCCCATGTTCACATTGGAAATCATGACAGGATTTATGACATTCCAAACAGATGTATCGTCCCCAATCTTTGTATTTGCCAGACCAGCAGCATTTCTGTCCTCAGCTACCAGAAAGGTCACAAATTTCTGCAGTCTGAGACCCACACAGCAGCTCCTTCAACATCTAGTTCTATAGCTTAAACTTTTCCCCGTTTCTGTCCCTTTCTGCATTTAACAGTCCAGATGACTGGACTGAGCAAGTGATAATATATGTCACAGGAAGCAAATTCTTACCCCGTATTAGGATGATGGTAAGTAGTAGGCAGCAGGTTTCAGTGCAGTTTCTTTCTTTCAAGATTGTGTTTGAATGCACAGTCCATGGCTATTGAGCCCTGTCCAATACTAATTTACTCCTTCTGTCAGATAACTTTTGACCCCAAGCTGCAAAGTTTTATTGCCTTATTTTAATATTAAACAATATGCTTTAATCATTGCTGTATAAACCTGCTGTATTTTCCTGTGAAGAGGAACAGTCTATTTTGCATCTATGAAGCATGGAAACCTTTATCTCTAGTGAGAGGACAACACTCCTCACTTACTGCTGCTGCCTTCTCCTGTTGCAGACATTCCTGTGATCCCTGACTTGGAGGAAGTCCAGGAGGAAGATCTGGCCATGCAAGTGGCAGCTCCACCCAGGTAAGAGCAGTACCAGCTGCTCTTGGGGCTCTCATTGGCAGCGTGAAATGTGAAATGGCTCTTAAATTAAACTCCATCTTACCCTGTGCTCAGTGGATGTCAGTGACTGTCCCATTCAGCAGCATTTGATGTTTGTGTTGTGAAGTGAGGCTCCAAGCCAAACAGTCCAAACTTGTTTCCTGTTACACAGGGAAGGCAATTACTGCACACTGCCTCTCTATGTGCAAAAAAACTGCATTAGAAAAACACATTTGATGTTTGCAAAATCAAACTCTCAAAAGCTAAGAAGTGCTTGATTTAAGGTTGCCTGTATAACCTCCAATGCCTCCAGTACACATATATTGTCACACACACACACACACACACTTTGATTTCATGGTCAAAGGCTGCTTTGCCCTCCACAGGATGTCCTCCTTACTCAACTGCCTAGTTAATTTGCAAAGTACAATCCTGTTCTTTGAAGGAATTATCAGAGCAGTCTTGGGGCTAGCTCAAAGGAGACTACCAAACTTTAAAAAATGAAATACTTGGAGGCTTTATTTTAAAAGAGTCAGGAATGTCTTCTCTCCCCTGTTGGGCCTGTTGCCAAGATCACAAACTGGGATTTCTCTCAACTGTTTTTTGGAGAGATAGAGTATCTTAGTCCAGACTACGGATCTCTCTCATAAGTATGAATTAGGCATTGTCATTGAATAGCTGTTAACAAAAATAAATTACACTTTATGGTAGTAAATTAAAAATTACTTTGTTTCTCACCAGAGCTCATTTCTGTTTTCTCTCTCTTTTTTTTTTTTTTTTTAATAATCCCATCCATTATTCCTTTATCCATTGTTCCTCTGCAATGGAAATGATAGGTAGTTTTCATGGACAAGCATAAACAGAAATGAAATTAATATAGGTCTTTTTCTGTAGTATTACATCACCTGCAGAGTGAAAGATGGCGTAACAGTGTGATACCAATCCGTCCCCCTTTGAAGGCTACCTTTTAAGAAGTTGTGTTTGATAGCTGTGACCCACTCAGACATGGAAATCACAAATTCCCTACTATTTTTTTTGCTTGCAGGGCTATCAGAGCCTGCTTTTCTTTCAAGCTAGGAGAGTGATTTGGGCTGTTAGGTGCTGGCTGTGAATGCTTACTGAGGTGGGGCTCTTGGCCTGTTTACCACATGCTCTTTATTTTTTTTTTAATTATTTCCTGGCCCTTGAAGCTGTTTTGCGGTTATTCTACCTGGAGTGCTGGTTTCTTCAAGTGAGTCAGTTGTCCCTCTATAGCAGCAAGAAGCTTTTTCCTTTTTTTTTTTTTTTTTTGCCTGTGCAGGACATGTCACACATTGATGTGTCAATGTGTCAATGACTGTTTGTTGAATGAGATGCACTCCTGTATCAGGCCTCTTGAGGTGAAATGGACACTCAAGATGGGTGTCCCCAAACTCCTGCTCTTCTCAGATGTACTCCTGCACTTATCAAGGTTTGTGTCTTTCCTCTTCCTGGTTATAGTGTCCAGGTGAACAGAGTGCTGACTTACCATGACCTGGACAAAGATCTTATGAAGTATGCAGCCTTTCAGACTCTGGTAAGTGGTGCTTGCTTGTGGGATGACTGATGCTACTTGCTCTCCTTCTGGTCTCCCATCATCCTTAAAAGTGATTTTCAGCTCCAGAACCACATAGTGCTATTATCCCGACATCTTCTAGTCTGTCTGCACACCTGTTCCTCTCTGCATACTTGTTTGTGCCTATAAATCATATGGGTATAACATCTTTTGCTCAGATGAGCCTCCTGCTTCTGTCCTGGGCAAGTCATCTGCCCCTTATGAGACTAAACAGTGTCTGTATCTCTAGCAACACCTTCCTGGTGAAATAACAACATCCATTCTCTGCCTGGCCTGTTGAAGGAAGATCATGGTTGTTTGTGTGTTCACAGGATGGAGAGGTTGACCTGAAGCTTCTCACCAAAGTGTTGGCTCCAGAGCAGGAACTACGAGAGGTGAGTCTTTCTTGTGGGGAAACACTGATAAGCTGCTTGTGTTTCTCAGCCTGTGTTTGGAACATAGACTCTTGTCCATGGGGTGGAGGAGCCACAGATGAGGAGAAGCCTGTGAAGAGGACCTTGATGAGTTGAGGGAGGTCTTATTTCCCTAGCACCTTATTTTATAGTGTTTATAGGTTGTCTGTGGTTGAGAGAATGGCATCAGTCTGACTGGCTCCCTTCTGTGTGAAAGAGCAAGTAAGGAGGTTGTGAAGGGCCTAGCTGACACAGATCAGTGCAGAAACAGTGCTCTGTCATCTGTTGGCTTTTGATAGCTACCATTAGCTCCAGGTGCTTCTGCAGGGTGGTACAGAAGGACAAAAGCAAAAGGCTTTGGGGTTAAGGCAGAGGAATATTGTAAAGCAGGTCAGAAAAATCTCAGTGCAGCTGGGCAGGTATGAACTTCGGACTGGAAGCAAAGGATTCTTGCAGCTCAGAATTACAGATGCCTCAATAGAAGGGTAGAAATTAGAAGGTTTTTATGGGTCTTCCTTCTGCTTTGCAGGTGAGTATATAAGATTAATGGATATCAAAAAAACCCTTTTCTTTATTGGCTTTGGGAACATGAATAATTATGTCCAAATCTTTAAACTGTGGCAGAGATTCAAGTTTTGTTCTCTGTAGGGTTTGTATTGCTGCCATGAGACTCTGAGACCTGGAGACCCTGCCCTGGAAAGGCCAACTACCATCTAGCCTCTTTGCTCTTCAGCCTGAGTATTTTGCAGCATTCAGGGATTTCTGGGTGTCACCAGTGAAGTTTCAGCATGTTTGTCTTTTTTTTTTTTTTCCTAGGATGATGTCGGCTGGGATTGGGATCATCTCTTCACAGAGGTGTCCTCAGAGCTAGTGACTGAATGGGACCTGGGGCAGTCTGAGAAAGAGGACCACCTCAGTCTGCCCTAGAGCACTGCCACACAAGCCATCTCCTCATCCACACATCCTCTGTAAATAATTTAGCACTTTAGTTTTTTATTCACATATTTGTATTTGAAAATTTATTTCAGACATGGAAATAAATATAAGCTTTATAGGAAAATTGGCTCAAGAGTTTGGGGTATTTTGTAATCAGAATCTTTGTTCTTGAAAGAGATTAGAATTCCAAGCACAATAAAATACTTTCTTATGACCAGTCACTTCCACTTCACTAGCACCTTTACAAATAACTGCAGCAGTCAGTCATTTTTCTCCTGAAATGCAGCCCTTTGAGCGTGGACCATCTCACAAATGAGTAGGATGAGTGTGGTTTTCAGTGATGGCTATCAGAACTGGTAGGATTTTTTTATTTTTTGCCTAGGACATCAATATTAGCATCTTACTCACAAGATGCCACAAGTTGCCAGGATATCCATTTTTAAATCTCGTCCAGCAGCAAGGTTTTGCTCCCGCCTCCAGCCATCCCCTGCTACTTTAACCTCTCCTCTGGAACGTTACCTCTGTATTGACTCAGAGGAAACAGCATCACCTATTAAACTGCCAACACCATTTCTTACAGCACCTCTTTTTCCCCTGGAGGTCTCCCAGCTAAGTACTGACCAGACCTAACCCTGCTTGGCTTTTGCAATCAGATGAGATCAGAGCCTGAGCTGCGATAGCTTCAGGCAATAGGTAGTTTGCAAAGAAAATACTGTTTATGCCACATACGTGAAAGAATGAAGCCCGCTGCTCTGAAAGAAGATAGCTCCTGGATGGGTGTTTTCTCGGAACCAAGAAACCCACTCTCCTTGTCCAAGAAGAGGTCCATTAGATGGTGACTTCGCTGTCCCTGTAGAATGGCATTGTTGGCAGGAGGCAGCAGGATGAGCTCTGAGCCAGCTTCCTTCAAAGCTTTGCTCACTGGAGAATCTTGTTCTGCTCCTGGAGGGCAGTGCAGGTGCTAGGCAGAAGGTGCTTCTTTGGTTTGATGGTTTAAACATTGGTTTAATGGAGTTTAATGGTTTAATGTTCTCACTTGTGCCCTTAGGGTAGGACAGGTCAAGTAACTCACTATGAATTTAATACTCTGCCAAATTTCAGCTCAGCTTTGATAGGCCCAGCAGTTCTACCAGCAAAAGAGAAGCACTTGCACACCAGTGTGGGGATCACCAAAATAAGGCGAGGTTGATCTGTCTTGAGAAGATGCTAAGTTCTGCAAAAATAAAAAATCCCCCTTGTAACCGGAAAACTTTGTTTTCCAAGAGAAAGATTGGGAAATTTTTGACTGGAGAAACTTGTTTTTGTAGGAACAGAAAATTCCCAGCTAAGGCAGCATCTTCTTATCTGTGACCACTATGGTCTTGAGCCGAGGAGTGCTTAGGATATTTCTTACCTTCCAGGAAAACAAAGCAAACCAAAACCTCTTCCAGTAGAAACTGATAAACTAAGGCAGTTCAATAAATTAGAGAAGACCAGCAAGCCATTGTAATAGAACAGTAAAGGGAAGAGGGAATGGGAATAGAGCATAAAGCAAATCTGCTTGTTTCTGCACCCTGAGGACAAACTTGAGTAGCTGCAGGAGAGGCCCAACACAAATTGCCAGTATCTCCCTCTGAAGTTTGGATTGCTGGAACATGCTTCTACCAGCAATGTACTGGCCTCCAGTTTGCTGAAAAGAGGAGCAAGAAAACCACATAAACAGGAATAAAAATGAGACAAAGAGATGAAACGGCCCTTCGTCCTTCAGCGAGGCTTAAAAGCACGAGAGGCCTTGTAGTCATGTGTAATTTTATAAACCCACCCAGAGACCCAGTGCAAATCAACTAGCTTTCAGTGACCACAGACGCTGAAGGTGCTCTGGCTGCAAGCACAAGAGTGGGTGAGCTGTGAATCCAATTTGTCTGTGCAGCCTGAAGTTGTGTCTGTAGTGTGTGGTGTGTTGTGTTGACGGGTTTTTTAGAGCTTTAGAGCACTACCCTGCTTCAGGAACTAGAACAAGCCCTTGGGGTTGTGCCTAGCTATGGAATAGACAATAATCCTGTTTTTTTATCATTTTCAGTGGGAAACTCGCTATGGTTCCCACATGACTAAGGCTGCACAGCCATCCTGGGTGGCTTGTTGGGACACTGAGGTGCAGGGCTGCGCACAGAGCTACACTGTGACTCTGGGCAGAACCACGATTAGAAGCCAGGAACCTCAAGCTCTGGATTCAGACATGGAGACCATGTACCCACCAACTATTTCCCATCTTCAGTGTGAAGACAGTACCTCGGTGTAGAGAGCCCTGCATCCCATGTGCTGTTTGCCTGCTCATACATCACTGAGTCACTTTGCTGGCAAGGATGCCTTACAGGAGGGCAGTTTGGTGGGAGACTGAGTGAGATCTTGTGGCAGCGACCACATATGCAGCTCTGGAAAAAAAATACAGAAAATAAAAGCTGAGAAAAAGCCAGACCTAGCAACTTTCCATTAAAGAGCCAGCCAGGAGCCTCTTAAAGGGACTCTGGCTGGCTGTTTTATTAAGTGTGACAAAGTGATGGGAGGCAGGGGGAGCTCCTATGTTAATCAGTTGGAAAGGCATCACGGTTCTCCACGCGGGAGCATCCTGGGGAACGCGGCATTAATTCCCGGCATATGCTCCCGGCATCTGCCGCGGCAGCCGGGCGTGGTGGGAGCGCAGGGCGAGGCAGTGGCAGCGGCGCTCCCGTTCCCCGGCGCTCCCGTTCCCTGGCACTCGCCTTCCCCGGCCTCGCCTTCCCCGGCCTCGCTGCCTCCTGCCTGTGCCAAGTGTGCGGCAGGACATGGACCACGACTAAGCGCAGCTCCCTGGGGGACGCCACAGTCTGGTGTTCAGGCATCCTGCAGAAGGAGAAATGCTGGGCGCTCGGGAAAGGTAAAGATGGCTGAACAGTAAAGAAGCCATTTTGGATAGAAATGAATCCAGTTTGCCCCAAACAACCTGAATTTCCCCCACAGCCAAGTATGCCTCTCCCCAGCGCTCTGACATGTTCTGCAGGAGGCTCGGAGGCTCTTTGACTCCTCCTTCTTCTGTGTGTCCCACCACTTTTGGGTGTCTCCAGGGGACAGGGGTTGACTTTGCTGTTAGGCTGCTATTTCCTTCCCTGCATAGAGGTTCCCTGGAGGGACTCCCTTCCGCCCTGTACTTCCACCAACGGCACCGTGGACAGGGGGCTCAGTCCCACCAGCCTGCTGGATTCGTGCCTTGGTTCAGGTTGGGCCCAGCCAACCTCCAGCAGCTGCTCCCCGGCCACATCCTGTCACTTTTCCACACAGTCCCTAGGGACGGGAGTGCGCCAGGAGCAAGGCCGTGCGGCAGGAGCCCCACTGGGCAGGAGACACTGCCGCCGCTTCGGCAGCTCCTCTCGCGTTGGGCACTCGCCATCCCGACACCCACCAGGCTGTGCTTGGGCCGCGCGCGGCCGGGAGCATCCCGAGCCATCCTGCCGCATCCGGGCGCCCTCGTGCTCCCGGGGCAGCCCTGAGGGGCTGGGACCTCTCCGTGCCCTCCGCGAGGCGGCTGCCCTGGGGCGCCGGCGCTCTGGGCTGCGGGCCCTGCTATCGGCCTCCATCTCCTGTCACTTTCAGGACCACTTCATTATCCTTTTACTCTCCCTTTTCTCCCGCTTATCGTTATTAATAATCGCGCTGGATTGGCTGGAGTGCTGACAGCTGCCCCTTGTCTCGTCTTTCTGTCTATTTTAATCCTGCCTGCTTATCTGGAATAAACCTGATCCTTTTTCTTTTAATTAAAGACATTTGGTCAGCCAGCCCCTCCCCCTGCAGAGATAGGGTCGATCACGGCAGCGATATGCGGCAAGCAGGAAAAGGGGCCAATTACCAGGTATTCGGCAGCCCGAGGACATGGGATGGTGGAATGGGGCCGGAGAAGACCCCTGGGCTGTGCAGTGTGGGGGGCTGTGGGCGCTCAGATGCACGTGCTACGTGAGCAGCCCTTAGCGCTCGTTCCTCCGCGCTTTCTCGTGCTGCCAGGAGGAGCCGGTGGCAGCTTTCTCAGGACCAGCCATTCCTACGCCGCTGTCTGGCCTTGCTGCTTCCTGGGGCCACAGCCCTAGTTCTGGCCCCTGAAAAATGCCTTGCCCGGCACTTCACTTCACCTGAAATATTCCGGTTGTCTGAAGGGACAGGTCACTCGAGGAAGGGCTTTGCAAATAGGCTGGAGAAGAATTGTTGTGCTAATGCACACTTTTATGAACCCATAAACTCAAATCTGCATTCAGTGCAATCTGCAAAGTGACTGGAGTGCAGGCTGAAATGCTTAGAAAGTGTTAACCAGGGGTCCGTAGCAAAGCAAAATGCTCTGAAGTGCAGCAGCAGGACTTTGGCTGTGAGCAGCAGGGGTACTCAACCTTAGCACTAATAATGCATATTCTTCGTTTCCCCAACAGTTCATTTCAGATGCACAAATTGCAAAGTTGACTGAATGCGTATGTACCTCCGCCAGAGTATGGCAACTGGCTTAGATTTGTAGGGCTCGCTCAGCCCCGAGAGGCTGCAGGCCCATGAAGGGTACAGGGCAGAGCTTCCTGCTGCTCAAATGAGAGCGTAGCTCTAAAGTTCTGTCAAGCAAACCAGGCTGCTTTCTGTGCGAGTGCTTCCGCTGACTGGGGTGAATGTTAACCTGCAGTTTGGATGGTGTTTAGGGAACTGCCACAATGCAAACCCATGCATATGGCTTAGCAGATGCTTTAAAGCACGTGATTCTATGCAAATCACGGACATTTGTGTAACATTTGGGCTGTTGCTTCCGTGTGAAATTTCCTGTTATTTGCAGAAAGTATTTTCCATCACTTTTTGTCCGCTCAGAGATCAAAAATGAAACCCAGAGTTTGGCTCTTTTCTATCCAATTATTGATGGCAGAGCATGAATGATCATTGCTGAATGGTGAACGAGATATCTGAAAGATGAGAAAAGACAGATTTCGCTTGTCTAAACTGAAGCGCTAATAACTGAACATAGCTTTTATTATCTCATGTGCAGTTCCAGCAAAAGCCATCACCCCTCCAGATCCAAGCAGG